TGTTCTGTAGGATATTGGAAAAAATAAACAAATGCGCTAATTAACAAAAAATACCTCTTGATTATCATCAATAGTAAACATGTTTTGTTAATAACTATAAATAAAACATATGCTGGTGCTCGTTTTCCACATTAGATTTGTTCCCATTTAGTGTCTTTATTAGAGAGTTTTATGTTGGAATTGTAAAACTGAAGCCCAGGGAGACTTTAATTACAGCTGATTAGCTGTTTAAGTAATACATTCAGACATGATGCTAGCAAAAAAATACAATTTCTATCATTTATTGTGTGATAACATTAAATAAAATACTTTTTTCTTTTTTATACAAACTTTTTGGGATTTGGATTTTAGCTGCTTTATTGCTACCAAGAACAGATCAATAGCTTCTTCTTATGAATTATAGCTGATTATTGATGCTAAGAAGGATGTTTCACAGATCTGGTTAACATTTTATGTTACTTAAGCCTTAAAAAATAGGCTATCATTAAAAAGACAATAAAGATTACAAGTTAAACCTAAAGCAAGATATTTCTTAGCGAATTGCACAAATCCTTTTTACATAAAACATAAAAATTAAAAATAAATGTTTTTCTTCATAAAAGTTTGCTTGTGATCATCAGGGCTCGGGGTTAGGGGAACAAATCCTGTTTGCTCCTTCAGGGAGGAATCGATCGCTGCTGATCCCACCACCCCCGTTAATGAAGTTGTAAAGTGGACATAGCTGGGGTTAATGATGCCTTGATTTTCTGTCTCACCGATCGGAAATGAGATGCTGGCCTGACCAGACAATAGCTTTACCTTTTTATTGTCACTATTCACACAGGTTACCGAATGCTGAGGCAGATCCTACTGAGAAGGGCAACTAAACACAAAGAGAAATCACAGGTTTCTTGTGGGTTTCTATTTATCTTTGTACAGTTTCCTATAGTACTGTGTCTCCAAGTTTTTCTATCCTGCTTTTCAAGAATTGGATGCAAAAACTGGTAGGAAATAATTTATTCCCGCTTATTTTTATACAAATCAGGGAAGAAAAAAGAAGATCAATAACTATAATGGTTCTTCTCTAATGGACCAACTCTAGGCTGCAGAATGGGTTATATATCACTCCCAATAAACATGTAACATTTACAGAAAGACCTAAAATAGTATCGTTGTTGCTGCTTAATATATGCATTAAATCATGAGTGAAAAGTAGATGCTGAGAAAATATAATATTGTTTTAGAAGGCGTTCGGGACACTTCACCCTAATTGTGTCTAAACCAAGGAGACACTTTGGACATGTCAGCTACGCCTGCCTTACATGGCGAGTAGAAAGCTGTGAAAAGGTATTTCCCCTGATATATTGGTTCTTTTTTATTATTTACGTAAGAAATACGTAGGCTATGTGGGATAAAAGTAAAGAAAGCTCAGTTCTGGCAATGACATTATTTGCTGTTTCTTCCAATTTTTGAGTCGTCTAAAAGGTGAACTCGCTGCTGTCCTTGGGATCATTAATAGAGGGAGACCGAAACATCAGCTGGCCAATATTTTGGGTCAACATGGGCGTTTTTTTTTTGTACCGTCATCGGCTGATTCATTAGTGCAGCAGATATTAATCGAGATAACATGTGGTGCATGTTGTTTTTATGTTAATGGAGGAAGAAAAAGCAATAGACTAAAAAATCTGCGCATATCAGATATCAGTTGGACGATGTCAAAATAATCGGTACCAACATAGGCATAAAAGAAAAATATTGGTTGATCTGAAAACATTGTTTTGCTGCTGAACCAAGAGGCCTTGAATCCAAGGTGGTCACTGATCACTAGACATTCTCCTTTAGAGTTTCCTGGTTTAAAGCAGAATGCTGCTGAGATACATGATGTTACTCAAACATTTCGATAAGTTTCCGTTACATTTTCTTCCGCTTTATCCAGGGCCAGATCGCAGAGCTGGCAGTGTTTCAATGTAGAAATGTAATCCCCCCTGTGCACCCAGCTTCCCCCCTATTTATTTATTTGTTTTGTTTTATTTTATTTTTTATTTTATTATAATTTTTTTTATTATTATTACCTTTATTTATCTAGTTGTTTATTTACTATTTTTCCTGTTCTTCTTTTTCCTCCGGAGGGGTGTATGTGTGATTATATGAATATATGTCACCATGTTTTACTACCGGAGGTCTTCTGTGTGTGTTCTTAAAAAAAAAAAAAATGTGGGAACTGTAGGTGAAAAGATGGAACTCTTATTTACAGAAATGTTACAATTACGCTTTATTCCTGTAATAAATAAAAATAAATAAATAAAAAAAGCTTGGCTGAAATTCAAGTTAAGCTTCAAAACATGATTGTTTTATTCAAACCTACTGGAGATGATAATTAGCTCATCTTCTCATGCCTGCAGCCACATTGCATCTGCTGAACTTCTTCAAGGATTATATAAGAAAAAGAAAATACTCCATTCAGCCAAAATATTAACTTATATAAAGCTTTATGGGATTTGTAGATCTATGCCTCACAGTTGCTACGTAACAGCAGCGCGTCCAGATTTACAGCTGATTAGCTGAGGTGTTCGTTGAAGGATCTGATCTACATGGACTTGGTTCCTTTAAGAAGCGCGACACACTGCGTGTCATAATTTCATGTCTCAGTTTATTTCATTTATTACTTATGGTTTAAGATTTTTTTTGTTTTATTTACAGAGTTTCAGTCTTTTTTGCCCATTTTCTGCATCTCTGATACAAAGACTAAGAAGCTGAATAATAACCTGGTTCTTGCTGACAATTGTGTGAGAACAGTTAATAAGACTTTTACTCTTAAGTCTACAAAAAACATTTAGACTGCAAATATTTGTTTAGGGTGAATGTGAGCCGTTCTCCTTACCAAGAGATCACTTCAAACAGCTGGTTCTGCTGGACAGATTTCCTTTAACTGATACCCTGACGGGTCCAACTGTCAGTCGTTTTGTTTCTGCTGAAATCTTCTGTGAAGATGTGGTTATTAGATATATTTAAGAGTGAAAATGAACAAAAAAAAAACAGGAAACCCGGGTAAGAGAGCTCCTTTTTAACAGCACTGATGTGCTCTTTATTCCTTCTTTTTGATAAAAATATGAAGATATACTGATTAAATTTAGAGCAGTTTCCTTCAGTCGACAGAAGGAAACTCCAATCCTCTCTTAGAAGATGGAGGAGACTGCAAGTAGAAGCAGCTGGTTTGTTGTCTGGTGTCTTTGGCGTTTGACGACATGTGCTCTATAATGACAGCAGCACGCACGCCGAGTGTTGACAAGGTGTGAAGACAACACACCATGAAATGAGAAATGGGCGTCGGTTGTGTCACTGCTTTAAAGTGACGCTTTCTGCTGTGTTTTTGAATGTTTTGTATAGATGGTGTGGTGTGTTAGCAGAGGTTCGGCTCCATACCCGCACTGTTATCTGTCCGACAGGAGGAAGCTGAACTGTTACCAATTTATGTTGGATTTCTGGCAGCA